TTGAAATAAACACGTCTGACAAATTGATTAATTAATTAATGTAATTTGAGTCAAACGAATAATTTTTTAGTTGTAATTTATAAAGGATGTTCTTAGACAAGGTAGGCCATGTAAATTTAGTAATTTGGTTGGCAACCATTTTCATGTATGCAAAGATTCCTAATGGAAAATGAAATTTATCTTATTGGGTTAAGTTGTTTTTAATGTGAGGTTAGAAAATCTGACAAAAACTGTAACACTGTTGCCAGTAATTTCACATAATTCTAATAAGTACGATTCAAAGCATACAAGAAGTTAGAAATGTTGCAACTTGATAATAATATGATTTCTAAATAACAATAAATATGGCAACTCAGCCTCAAGTTAACGTCATTCTCACGGATTGACAGAGAAATTTGTCAATGAATCAGCTTATCCAACTTGAAGAAAAAAAGTCACTAAAAACATCCTGAACACTTTATAACTAAGGCTCGGATTTTATGCAAAATATAAATATATTCCTTAGAATGCCGCATATTCAGAAAAAAATGGATAAATTTTTTAATAATCAATTACATTTGTTGTCTAGTAGAATTAAAAAAAAAGTACAATAAAATTTATATTCCAGTATCAAGAAATCTGCAACCGGTAAACAAAAAACAATTTGGTCTAACTTTTTGGAATTTTTCAATCTTTCCAACTGAAGAGTTTAGAATTTTGTAAGTAATAAGAGTTTACAAAATTTAATTTAAGCATTATTTGGAATACGTAATTTTGACTTGTTCAGAAATTATACACATTTTTGATTTTATTGATTTCACAGAATTTTGGTAACTTTTAAAGAATTTTTAAGGATCCTTGAAGGACTCGATTTTGAATGACCTAAAAAAATTAACTTGATGAATTAATTAAATTAAATTCATTTTTTGTCCCGTTTCCGTCTGTCTGTCGTCTGACTGTTTGTTGTCTGTCACCTCTCTGTCGTCGGTCTGTTTATCTGTCTGTATTTCTGTCTCTCTGTCTGTCTATCTGTGTTGATAAACTAACACAGAGTTTATCAAATTTTACCTGTATTTTTGAAATATCATATACCGGGTGTCTGGAAAATGATGGATAACTCTTCGCAACCCTTTTAACAATCAACTGCTGAGTCAGGGAAAAATAGTAAAAAAAAGTTTAATTACCATTCCAGTTACAATGTACAAAGATAGGGTTGGTTGTGTTGTTTTGTGATAATTTGATAAAATTCTATTTGACAACAAAGTTTTCAAAACCCTACGTTTTTTCATACAGAATATGGCATTTGCCAAAATCAGTCTCGACAGGTACTAGCTCCACCCACCCGCCCTCTCTTTTCTTAGAGGGTATGTCATTTGCCAAAATCACTCGTATCTTAGCAGGTACTAGGCCCCGCCCACCCACCCTCTCTTTTCTTAGAGAGTATGTCATCTGCCAAACTCACTCTTGTCGTAGCAGTACTAGATCCGCCCACGCTTAGACAACACGATACTAAAAAACACGCCTTTTATCTCTTGTAGAGAAGTACAGATTTTGCAATTATGCTCCGCCCTCTTGGCTCATTTTGCCTTTTTGTTTTAATATGTGTAGACCTCTTTTTACAACATGAAACTTAAAACATGTTTAAAATGGAAAATTTGCATACAGAAATATGGATTTTTCAATTACGCTCCGCCCCTCGGTCTGCCAACGAATGAAAAATTCATCACGATTGAGATCGAGACGGATGGGTGGGGCATACATTTAGTTTTCTTTGTATAATACGATGACGTAAGAACATATTTCACCTGGTAATTTTTCGTAAAAGAATAAGGATTTTACAATTAAGCTCAGCCCCTCTGCTTACGATAAATAAAAAAAATCATTAGAATCGAGATAGGGTGGGTGGGCGGGGCTTATATTTTGCCTCGTTTTCTTAATATACATAGTCGTCTTTTCACAATAAGAAACTTAAAACATGATTAAAATGGTACATTTTTGCAAGAAAATATGGATTTTGTAATTATGGGGCGGAGCCTAATGGCAAAATCAATATTTCTTTATACAAATTTTTCATTTTAAACATGTTTTAAGTTTCATGTTGTGAAAAGAAGTACACACATATTAAAACAAAAAGGCAAAATATAAGCCCGCCCACCCGCCCTATCTCAATTGTGATGATTTTTTTTATTCGCAGTGAATCAAGGGGATGGAGCTTAACTGCAAAATATTTATTTTTTTTTACGATAAATTAAAAACATGTTTTTGAGTATCGTACTGTTTAAAGAATGCTATGTATATTAACAAAAAAATATATATAAACCCCACCCACCCACCCTATCTCAATTGTGATGATTTTTTTTCTTAGAAACTTAAAATACATTTAAAATGGTCAATTTTTGTAAGAAAACATGGATTTTCCAATTTGGCATCGCCCCTATGTCTGCCAACGAATGAAAACTTCATTACTATTATTACATAGTATTTTTTGAATAACATGATACCCAAAACAAGTCGAACACAGTAATTTCTTGTAGAGAAATAATAATGATTTCGTAATTAAATTCCGCTCCTTTGACTCTCGACAATAAAAAAAAATCATCACAGTCGAGATAGGGCGGGTGGGCGGGACTAATATTTTGTCTTTTGTCTTAATGTACGTAGTCGTCTTTTCAGAACACGAAATTTAAACATGTTTAAAATGGTAAATTCTTGTAGACAAGTACGACTCTTGCAATTAAGCCCCGCCCTCGATCTGACAACGAATGAAAAATGCATCACATTTGAGAATTGATATGGAGGCAGATATGGGTGGGACCTAATCTTTGGCTTTATTTTTTTCTTAAAATACACAGTCTTCTTCGAACTACACGATACTCAAAAACATGTTTTTAATTTCTCGTAGAGAAATAAGAATTTTACAGTTAAGCTCCACCCCCTTGGGTCATGACGAATAAAAAAATCATCACAATTGAGATAGGGTGGGTGGGCGGGGCTACATTTTGCCTCTTTTTATCAATATGTGTAGTCATTTTTTCACAACAATGAACTTAAAACATGTTTAAAATGGTAAATATGTCTAAGGAAATATCTAAATCCTCCCTGAACGGTAACTAAGGGTAGGATTGTTTGCAAAAAAAAAATGTTTTTGGGTCATATTATTGTTTCAGCATTCATACATTTTTGACGACACAAATGGAAATATTTTTTCAGTTCTTCTGTAGTAACTATAGAAATATGCATTCCAAAGTTTGAATTTACAACAATTAGTCAATTCAAAACGAGTTTCTACACTACACAGCTTGGTTTTTACCAAATAGCTCAACACAAAAGACGTAGGCAAAATTACTATTAAATTAAAAAAAAAAAAATAAACAATACAATTTCTATTCCAGTGTCAAAAATCTGTAAACCGGGTGGTTAAGAAAAAAACAATTTGATCTAAGTTTTTGCACGAAATTTTAATCGAGTTTAATACAATTTGTGATTTTTTGATCTTTCCAACTGAAGAGTTTAGAATTTTGTAAGTAATAAGAGTTTGCAAAATTTAGTTTAAACACTATTTGGAATAAGTAAAACTTAAAACATGTTTAAAACGGAAAATTTGTATAAAGAAATATCGATTTTTCAATTACGCTCCGCCCCTCGGTCTGCCAACGAATGAAAAATTCATAACGATTGAGATCGAGACGGATGGGTGGGGCATACATTTAGTTTTCTTTGTATGACACGATTATTTAAGAACATATTTCGCCTGGTAATTTCTCGTGAAAAAATAAAGATTTTACAATTAAGCTCCGCCCCTCTGCTAACGATGAATAAAAAAAATCATCAGAATCGAGACAGGGTGGGTGGGCGGGGCTTATATTTTGCCTCTTATTCTTAATATACATAGCCGTCTTTTCACAATAAGAAACTTAAAACATGATTAAAATGGTACATTTTTGCAAGAAAATATGGATTTTGCAAATATGGGGCGGAGCCTAATGTTTCTTTATACAAAGTTTCGATTTTAAATATGTTTTAGGTTTCATGTTGCGAAAAGAAGTCTACACATATTAAAACAAACAACCAAAATATAAACCCCACCCACCCACCCTATCTTAATTGTAATGATTTTTTTTTTATTCTTAGAAACTTAAGACACATTTAAAATAGTCAGTTTTTGTAAGAAAACATGCATTAGGCGTCGTCCCTATGTCCGTCAACGAATGAAAACTTCATTACTGTTTAGATCAGAGTAGGTATGGGTGGGGCTTAATCTTTGGCTTTAATTTTTTCTTAATATATATAATATTCTTTGAATAACATGATACTCAAAAACATGATCACAATTGAGATAGGGCGGGTGGCATTTTGCCTTTTGTCTTAATGTACGGAGTCGTCTTTTCGGAACAAGAAACTTAAAACATGTATAAAATGGTAAATTCTTGTAGACAAATATGGATCTTGCAATTAAGCCCCGCCCTCGATCTAACGACTGAAAAATTCACCACAATTGAGAATTGAATTTCATTTGCCAAAATCAGCCTTATCTTACAAGGTACTAGTCCCGCCCACCCACCCTCTCTACTCTTAGAAGATATGTGATTTGTCAACATCGATCTTATTTTAGTAGGTGGCAGCCCCGCCCACCCACCCTCTCCTTTGTTAGAGGGTATGGTACTTGCCAAAATCAGTCTTATCTTACCAGAATACTAGCCCCGCCCACCCACCCTCTCTTTTCTTAGAGGGTATGTGATTTGCCAAAATCAGTTTTATCCTAGCAAGTACTCATGAATCATGACTAACTTTTACAAAAAATGATCAAATTTTGGAAACATTACGACTTTACAATTTTGAACATCTTCTCTAGTGTTTCGTTGGTTATGCTTTGATGGATTTTTATTTTGTTGGTTTTGTCTCTGTTTATAATTTATAAAGATGTCTTATGTTTTTTTTAGTTTATTCATTAGTGAAATATTTAAATTTTTAAATCTGATAGATAATAACATATTTCTATTCTTGTAGTTTATGAATCCGCTATGGTTTTAATCAGTTACAGGAAAAATAGATATTCAACTATAAGTTCTAAGGTAGATTTCCAGAAGAATTTGGTAATGTTTTCTAAAATAAAACATTTTACATTATTTGCTGCGTGATACTGCCCCATTTTCATTCATTTTTTCTATTTTTGATCCTTTTTTTTTATGAACTTTAAACAGAATAGTCAAAAGTTTTTCACAAAATCCAAATTTGCTAAAATACGTACATACACTTTTCTTCATTTTTTAAAAAAGTACACAAAATTTACTGCTTTTAGCGATGTTGTTAGACACCTAAAGTGCTAAACCGATGGTTGTGGCATTTTGGATCTTCTTTAAGATTATCAATCAGGTAATAATTAAACGCCAACCAGAATTTGTTTGTACATCGCATCAACAATCTGATGACGTCATCTCAAAATTTTGCTAAGTAAGAATCCTGTTTAAATTATGTAAAATAATATGCTCATTTCTATATTTATGGTTTACTACTTAATCCGTTTTTATTTTTACCTTGGACATCTATATTTCTACGAAAGAAAAAAGAAAATGTTGCAAACATTTTTCGAAAATACGAATCTGGTTGTTCTGAAACCTTACAGACACTTTAAAATCATGCTAATAATAAATAATGTAAAAAACTTTTTGTTGAAACTCGTTTGAGAGTGCAATTTTGCCGAAATGCATTGTTTAATTTACCCCCGTCTCCATAACCTGTTGTAACTAGGTGGGAAAAAGGATTGAACGCAATTGTATTTTATACCAAAAACTACAGTGCGGTTAAGAATTTTGTTAATGAGCTGTCAGATGATGTTACTTCTATTAAAGAATCTAAAATAGCTAGAAACAGATTGTTTTAAAAAACTATCCAATGCTCAAGGTAAAATAGGTAAAGAAGTTGAAGGTAAACGAAGAAAAATGTTGCTGCCCCGGTGGGAATCGAACCCAACGTCTCCCACTTGTCGGGCGGGCGCCTCGACCACTAGACCACGAGGCCGCTTATCTTTCTCCGTTTACCAACGTGTTATTGTGTCGTAAAGTTTTTCAGAAATTCAAGTCTGTTTTAGAAAAAAATGCAGGTTTTAATACCTTGTCGCTTGTGAGTAAAATTTATCTCAATAATAGAGAATTTAATATTTGCTCCAATGAAACATGTGTTGTGTGACAATCGCGAATAATTTTTAATGGAAAATTTTGAAAAACAATTAATTGGTTAGATAAAAATTATAGCTAAAATCAAATACTCTGTAAACAGTATTTTCTCACATACTTAATTTCGTTTGAATTTTTATGCATAAAATCCGAGCCTTTTTTATAACTATTAGAATTAATTTAATTACACTGAGCAACACCCAAAAACCTATTTTTTTGTCAGCCCCATAAAGACTAAAAATCTCGCAGCGTCACCCCACTAAAAAAAGATTTCATTTTGTCACCACCTCGAAAAAAGTCCACTGGGCAAATTTCCGGCCGGCCCGAACTCGCTTATTTAACAGTTTATTTCCATTTTTAATACCGCCTAAGTCACGTTTCACAGTGGAATGTACTCATTTAATATTCACCATATAAACCTGTGCCGGCCCTGCTCCAGCCTCGCCCGGAATCGCTGCAACCGCAACCATACCGCATAAAAAATGCGGCTGTCCGCTAAAATTTATGGGTATTAAACCGAAAATCGACTGTCGACTTTTTAGGGTCGTCTCCATACTAATGTTTGTCATTTTTAACCGTCAAGCTCCCGCGCAACTCCGAAAATAAATACGAACAGCGAACAATCCAGTTGTCGCTTTTCGCAGTGAGCAGGACTCGGCGGGGCGCCGAGAAAATCCTTACAGTTTGACCGTTGTTGTGGATTTCCTTTTTAGTGACAGCAGGCCCACATTGTTGCAGTTGCTGCTGCCGTTGACGACGTACACCCCTGCGCTGTCCACCGCCCCGGTGTAATGGTAGTTGCTCCAGCGGGTCGTCCGGTAGATTCTGCGGTGCATGAAAGCGCGGATGGCTTGGTGGACGTCTTGGTTGGCGAAGCAGAAGAGGCAAGACACGCACAAGCCCTGGAAAAGAAGTTTTATATGTAGCAGATTGTTGTCGAGGGGTTTTGTTACGTTTTTGTTACAATATTGGTGCGCTTGTCACATTTTTGGCGATTTTTTTCAGTTTTTGTTTCAAAAATAAAACATGATAATCCCCGAGTTTTTTCAAATTCTTAAAAAGCATGAACATTGTTTCACATTCTTAAAAAAAGACATAGGATTCATCAAAACTCTTTAAAAATAAGACACGTGGGGACCCGCCTGATTCTTATCAAAAGTAAAAAACTAAGATTTGCTCTTTGAGAAAAGAGAGAATACGGATTTTCGAGATTTTTTGAAACTCTTCCAAAATACAACACTAGATTCCTCGAGGAGTTATTTATTTTTGTTTTATGAATATACATTAGGGTATCTTAGAAAAACGGAACTTAAATCCCCAGGTGCATGGAAGCGCGGATGGCTTGATGGACCTCTTGGTTGGCGAAGCAGAAGAAGCAAGACACGCACAAGCCCTGGAAAAGAAGTTTTCTATGTAGCGGATTGTTGTGGAGAGGTTTTGTTACGTTTTTGTTACAATATTGGTGCGCTTGTCTCATTTTTGGGGACTTTTCTCAGAGAGAGTACGGATCTCCAAGATTTTTTGAAACTTTTCCAAAATATAGCACCAGATTCTTCGAAGAGTTAGTTGTCACATTATTTAAAGAAAATACACTAGGGTACATTAAGGTTTATAAATTTTAAAAACACGAAACTAAAATCTCCGTAAGATTGTTCGATACTGTTTCAAAAATAAATGAACCTTGAAAATACATTCATATAGGGACTCCAACAAAGACAAAACAACAGAAGCCTTCAAACATATTTCGAATTCCTCCAAAAGCAAATTTCAAGAGACCCCATAAATTCTTTCAAGAGAAACTAAGATTCTTAGTATAACAAGGACACAAGAGATTCCTAAAATTCATTTAAACTTTTTCAATAAAAAAGCGACAAGCCGTGCCCAAAATTGCAAAATTGATTCTTTATATTAAAAAAAGATATAAAGGTCTTTGAGATACTCTTAAAATCCTCCAAAAACATTGTAAATGAAGCCCCAAAAATTCTTTCACATTAAAAAAAAAGACACTACATATTCATAAAATTGTTAAAAAAAAAAATTAAGTTCCTTAAGATTTGTCCAAATTCTTCCAGAAACCAAAAAACCTGAGGCTTGCAAGATTTTTTTAAATTGGTACAAAAAAAAAAAAACACACAAGAGGCTTCTAAAATGCTTTCAAACTTTTTTAATAAATAAGTGACCAACAGTCTCCAACATGGTTTCAAACTCCAACAAGGGATTTCAAAGATTTTTTATACTAAAACAAAAGGCCTTTGAGATTCTATCAAACTCCCTCAAAAATGCTTCCACATTCTTAAAAAAAAGGATTAAAGTTCCCTAAAATTGTTTTAAACTCTTTTATAAACAAAATATATAAATATCCCTCAAGATTCTTTTACATTCTTTAAAAACATACTAGGGACCTTGAATTCTTTCAAATTGCTCCAGAAAACAAAAAATTGAAAAAAAGACAAGTTTTTAAAATTCTTTCAAACTTTTTCAATCAAAAAGTAATTAGTGATCTCATAGAATGTTTCAAACCCTCACAATAGATTTCAAAGATTCTTTTACATAAAAAAAATATACAGTGGCCTTTGAGATTCTATTAAACTTAAAAATATTGTAACATAGGCTTCAAAAATTCTTTCACATTCTTAAAAAAAGACGTTAAAGCTTCATAAAATTCTTAAAAACGACTGAAGTTTTCCAAGATTATTTCACTACAGGTTCCTAAAGTTCTTTCAAATTAAAAAAAAAAAAACAAAATTGAAGGTCCCCAAAATTTTTACAAACACTTTTATAAACAAAACACAAAGGCTCTCAAGATTCTTTCACTTTCTTTAAAAACTACTCTAAGGGGGCCCAGGATTCTTTCAAATTATTACAAAAAACTTAACAAAGAGCTCGTAAATTGCCAAAATTGTTTTAAACCCACACAAAGAATTCCAAAGAAGGTTAAAATAAGTTCAGATAATCTTTTATCCAAGAATTTATTAAAGTTTATTAGTTTTTTTGTGGAGATGGGTATGGGTGGCGCTTAATCTTTGGCTTAATTTTTTACTTAACATACATGGTATTCTTTGAACACGATACTCAAAATCATGTTTTACATCATAATGAAACAAGAAACTTATAACATGTATGTTTAAAATAGGAAATATGGATTTTGCAATTACGCTCCGCCCCTCTGTCTGACAACGAATGGAAAATTCATCACGATTGAGATCCACAGGGACGGGTGGGGCTTATATTTGTTTTTTTTTACTTACTACTTGTAGTTTTCTTTGAGCAAAATATTTCACGTGGTAATTCGTGTAGAAAATACGTATTTTGTAATTAAGCTCCGCCTCCTCTGACTAACGACGAACAAAGAAAAACCGTTACAACTGAGATAGGGTAGGTGGGTGGGGCTTATGTTATACATCTTGTTCTTCTTAATGTACAGTCTTTTCTTCACAACAAAAAACTGAAAACATGTTTAAAATGGTAATTTTTATCCGCGACACTTCTCTGCAATTTTACCCTTTTAAACATGTTTTCAGTTTCTTATCGTAATAGAAAACTATAGATATATTAAGAAAAAAAGTAAAACTACAAACCCCGCTCATCCGCCCTCATCTCAATTGTGATCACGTTTTTATTCGTTCTGAGTCGAAGGGCGGAGTTTATGGCAAAATGCTTATTTCTCTTCAAGAAACTACCATGTGAAACATGTTTTTCAGTAACATGTTCTTGAAAGGAAAATATATATGTCAAGAAAAAAAAAGTCAAAAAATAAGCCCCACCCACCCGCCCCAATCTCATTTGTGATGAATTTTTCATTCGTTGTCAGGCCGAGGGGCGGAGCTTAGTTGCAAAATCGATGTTTCTCGAAAAAAATTACCGTTTTAAACGTTTTAAATATGTTGTCGTGAAAAGATTGTTGCTTATATCCAGAAAAAAGATAAAATTTAAGCTCCGCCTACCAACCGCGATCTCAATTGAATTTCTAAAAAATTGTTATATTTCATGTTGTAAATTGTGGAAAAATGGGGGCAATTTTCCAGAAGATGAAGCCGAAAATAATTTCTGGTAATCAAAATATATAAAAAAAAACTCTTTAATTTTAGAAATTATTCGAAAACTGGTAAAAAAATTCATATTGAAGAAATTGATGTTTTTAAAAGGTTGTCTAAAAATCCACAAAAAAATCTGGGATATAGACTTCGATGAGTTGACTCCAAAAAAATACTCTTTTGCAAACAAAACATAAGAATCCCAAGATTCTTTCACATCCTTTAAAGCCCACACTAGGTGGCCTCAAAATTCTTTCCCATTCTTAAAAATGAACATTACAGCTTCATAAAATTCTTTAAAATTAGTAGAAAAAACTCTAAAGCTCCCTAAGATTCAGAAAAACGTTTTCGTTATTTAAAATAAGCTTAAGATAATCTTTTACCCATGAATTTATGAAAGTTTATTATTAATATTGTTTTTTTGGAGATGGGTGAACTTACTCTTTGGCTTTACTTTTTACTTAATATACATGATATTCTTTAAACAATACGATACTTAAAAATATGTTTTACATGATAAGGTCTTGTAGAGAATTAAGGATTTTTAAGCTCCACCCTCCTGACTCACGATGACTAAAAAAAGTCATTACAATTAAGATAGGGTGGGTGGGCGGGGCTTATATTTTGCCTTTTTTTTCGTAATATTTGTAGTCTTCTTTTCGCAAGAAGAAATTTAACACATGTTTAAAACATGAAATATGGATTTTGGAATTACGCTCCGCCCCTTAGTCTGACAACGAATGGAAAATTAATCACAATTGAGATCCAGAGATGGGTGGGGCTTATCTTCGGCTTTTTTTTACTTCCTACATATGCTTCTCTTTGAGCACCATCACTGAAGATTACGTTTCACATGGTAATTCGTGTAGAAAAGGGCCGATTTTGCAATTAAGCTCCACCTCCACTGACTCACGACGAACAAAGAAAAATCGTCACAATTGAGATAGGGTGGGTGGGTGGGGCTTATGTTTTCTACTGTTTTCTTCTTAATATACATAGTGTTTTCTTCACAACAAGAAACTGAAAACACGTTTAATATGATAAATTTTAGCCCCCTCATTTCTCTACAAATTAACCTTTCTAATCACGTTTTCAGTTTCTTGTCCTGAAAAGAAAAATACGTACATATATTAAGACAAAAAGGCAAAATACAAAGCCGGCCCACTCGCCCTCGTCTCAATTGTGCTAAGGTTTTTATTCGTTGTGAGCCGAAGGGCGGAGTTTATTGCAAAATGCTCATTTCTCTACAAGAAACTACCATGTGAAACATGTTTTTAAGTAACATGAAAGTAAAAAAATAAACCCCACCCACCCGTCCCAATCTCAGTAGTGATGAATTTTTCATTCGTTGTGAGAGCGAGGGGCGGAGCTTAATTGTGAAGTCGATGTTTCCCGAAACATTTACCATTTTAAACGTCTTAAATATGTATATTGTCTTGAAAAGATTGTTTCGTATATCCAGAAAAAAGACAAAATTTAAACTTTACCTATCCACCGCCATGTGAATTGTAATGGTGTTATTTGTTGTGAAAATTGAAATTAAAAATAAAATGTTAAATTTCATATTGTAAACTGTGGAAAAAAGGTGGCAATCTTCCAGGAAATGAAGACGAAAATAATTTTTGGAAATCAAAATGTATAAAAAAAACCCTTGGCTTTATTTTTTACTTAATATATATGGTATTCTTTAAACTACAGGATACTCAAAAACATGTTTTACATGATAATTTCTTGAGAGAGATAAAGATTTTAAAATTCACCCTTTTGGCTCACGATGAATAAGAAAAGTCGTCACAATTGCGAGAGGGTGGGTGGGCGGGGCTTATATTTTGCCTGTTTTCCTTAATATTCGTGGTCTTCATCTTTTC